ATTATCTTTTGAACCTAACAAATTGTTCAATACACATATTCTTTACAAAATCAGTAGCTTAATTTTACAGGTTTCAACATACATTCAAGCTTTAACTTCATTGACCAAACTTTTATTTGTTCAAAAATTTACAAACATTAAAAAAAACCAAAAATTCAAAGTTATCACCTCATGGTCATTTTCAGCACTTCATACATCAAATTACGTTTGAATGTGTAAAGCATTAAATATACTTCCTTAGAGAGGATAACAAATCCCATAACATACTGCAGTTTTGAGCTGTATAAGGTCAATCAATGTTATACAAATGAACTTAGCATTGATGTTTTTATGCATACCCGCCCACCTATACACTCTTTCACATAAAAAGAGGTTTGATACTAAATTTACTGGTATAGGTTGACACAGCAATGTTAAGCTGATTATTATAAAAGTCTTGATACTAAACATGAGCAAGTATGTTTCATATTTCAAAGTACGCCCCACAAGGTAAAAAAACAACAACAGGATATCTAAGTTTACCTGTAAAGTATGAAAGAGTCTATATACAAAATCATAACATTCTCTATAATCAATCTAACTGAGATGATGAGAGATTATACAGCTTAAAACTGCAATATACTCAGTTGATCATGATCTGTTATCCATTATAGGCAGACACATATTTCAAATTGTACTACTGCATAGTGAACAAAACCCAAGCATTAAATTTAGCTGCAAGTTAGATAATCTTAAATATTTATTATTAAAGAGCACAAAAGTGTGTGAATAAATAAGATCAACAAATTTTGTTACAACTTCACTTAACCTTTTCTGGACCAGATCTGGTTGTTGGTGTTGATATCCCTTGATTTTTTTTTCCTCTTCACAGTAGAAATTGTTAACCTCATTGCATAAATCTTAGTAAAGTATTACTAAATAGTATCCATTTCTGCTTAAACATAATTTTATTTAGTTTTTCTATCACTTTTATGTTACAAAATTTCCAAAATTTTGTTGAGACATTTTTTAGAAGAACAGAAAGCAAATTCGAAACACATCCCTTCACCTTAGAATGGTCAGGTCAGACCAGGTATCAATATTTCAGTAACAATGTTCTTGTTCACAATCAATATTTAATACGTGACTTTGTTTTGAACAAATATAAGCTCTTTTATTTACCTTTTTGTTTCAACACAATGAACTTAATAACAATATTCAATAAATAAGAATTTGCGACGCATCTGATTCACTAGTAAATTCTGTGGTCTTTCTAAACCTAATAAGGCTTACCTGATCTCTTGCCACACAAGAAAATTGCAATAATTTTCAAACGAATGTAGTTTAACATTATAACATCTTCAGAAATAAAAAAAATATTCTACAGAAAATATAAAAAAATCTCAGATCTGTGGTTTATTCCTAAGTCTTCTAAACTTCCAACTACATTCTGCAGGAGTTAAATTTAATCACTTACTCAAAAATACCAAAATTACTTCTCGTACTACTTTATTCATTTTACATTGACATTAGTAATTTATAATCTGCTCTATTCAACTGTATTTAAAGAGCTATTCTCATTAATAGTTCTCCCACCCTTTTATGACCTCACAGTATATGATAGGAATACAGGCCTGTAATAGTAAACTTTAGAGGGAAGGGAAATCACAAGAGAAACAAGATATTGTTAATTGTTTTCTCAAGAAATAATATATTCTTAGCAAATTATAAATGCTTTTGGATGGATACAATAATTCTAAACGAATCTACAAGTGCATTACTTTCAGTCAAGACTCCTTGGAGCTGTACAGAAATGTTAGTTTGACTTAAAATAGTTAGAATTATTATTTTTACTTAAATTTAAAAATATGATATGCAGGTGTGCACTTAAAACTTGAAATATGCTCACTGGTCAAGTAAGGGTTAAAACATGATGAAAACCCATTATATATATATATATATATATAGGCATACATATATTTTCTATTTGTATTTTATGAGATGATTTCTGTCACAATTTAAATGCTGAATAATCAAGATTAAAAACAAATTTACAAGTACA